ATATATGTTTCTATATATATACACACACACACAATGGAAGTGACGACTAAATGAGCTACCAAGAAATAGCCATGTACATATAGCTAAAATTTGGCGGAAACTGCTGAAAAACTGAAAACAGTTTGACTTAGCGCAAAATCCATTTGTGTTCAGTTAAATTATTTTTCGCTTGTTTAGCAATTTTCGTTTCATTTTATGTGTATACTATGTATGGCGGTAAAAACATAGAAAATAGCCAGATCAATAAAAAAACCCCAAGCTACTTGAAGAAAACATTCAGAAATACGGACGTTATAAATGGAAAAGGTATATACAACTAAAAAAATTGTAAATAGACAAGGTTTATATAACTAAAATTAGAAGAAAATTGCTAAAAAAGTTTCATCTAAATCTCCCACTTACATATCGGAATCATGAACAAAAATCCCCTTTTTCAACCGTACTAAACAAAAAACTGAGATTAGTTGATTATAAATAATAACAAAAATAAAAACACTTTAATGGCTTGAAAATGATTGAAAAGTATATAGAAATATAGATGAGTTTTTAATTAAAAAGAAAATTAATTAGGTATAGAATGTACACTGATTTTAGGCTGGGAAAAAAGTCTTCCTTTGATTGCCAAGTGTTTGTTCTTGTCTCAACTGCTTTAGTATATTAGAACAAATAGTGGATACTAGGTCATCCAAAAGTTGTTGGGGTTATCATTAAGTAGCTATTCACCTTTATATTGTTTCTTCTGCATTCATATACCTCTACTTCAAATTGAATATTTAGATTGTTTTCTTATGATTTTGATGTTATAGATCTTGGGCATCTAATTAAAGTACTGTTAAAATGTTGTTTTGAATAACATTTTTTTCTCTCTTAATTTCTACTTTGAGTTTAACTTCAAGACTTGTTTTCTGCTTTCCTCACATTTGTAGTAGAAGATAGGTGTTTTCCCACTCCCAAATTGGTTTTTACTATAGCTTTCGATGACAACTTGTGAGATAGTTGACTTGGATATCCAATTTCTATATTTGGCAGACTAAATCCTGGGGTGCAGTTTTATTTGGTATATCCAAAATGGTGTTACTTTGTAGGATAAGTGCTGGCAGGATTCAATTTGGGATAGAAACTTAACCTTTCAGGTTTAGATAATGCTGAATACTAGCTGATATTAGCAGCAAAAACATTCCTACAATTGCAGTAATACGTTTATCTTTACATGGAGCTGCTTGTTATGCAATCCTGAGTGTTAAGACTCTTAGGCTTGCATGGAAGAGTTTCACATTGCTGACATAAGTGCTGGTTGAGGTTCTATTTGATGTAGTAGTGTTTAACGTCTGAATGAGACTGATTATGGGTCAATACCGGTTAAAGTTTTCCATGAATTGAATTAATACTTAAAAAGTTTTAACTTGGGCTGCACCTTAGTTAAACTTTTAAAGTAAACAAAACTGCTAATGAAACAAACTTCCCTGCGAGGTCTAACTTATTAATTATGAATCGATATGGGGCTGAGTGGATTGGCTTGCATCGACTATGATGGAAATGCCTTTATCATGGAGATATTATTCTGTTAGAGGAGATGTGGTCACCACTTTACCTCAAACATCATAATTCTTTTCGAGGTCACCATTGTCTATATAAGGTGAGATAAAAAAAATGGTAGTGTTGTATGGAAGGCAGAATCTAATAATATGCTTGGTAGATAAAGGTGGATGGCTGTTGCTTGAAAGAGCATCATTAGGTTCCATGGTGGTTACACATTTATATATCATACAATGGTAAGAGACAAGACATTCGTTAATGTACAAATCTGAATAAGAGATTCCCTATGTGACCTTAATAATAAATGTTAAGACTGGTCTTAACCATGACCAATGTTTTAAAACACTAATAATAAACGTTAAGACCAGCTCTTAACCATGACCAATGTTTTAAAAAACTCCTGCTTAGCTTGCTTAGGCTCTCATATAGGCTTAGATGGTAACTTGGCCGCTTAGACTCCACCAGCCTAGGCCTTGAGAGCGCCTAAAGGAGTGGAGACCACTTACACGGACTGCACCAAGGTCTTGGTTGTGATTTCCTCTATCGCTACCTCTACGTCCTCTAAACTCCTCCGAACTCCGGCCTTCTCCACTGACTATGAATACCTCTTCTAACTCCTCTGACTTTCTGCAAAACCTCCTCTGCCACCACTTAAACAAAAAAGAAATCATCCTAGTTTTTTCTTAGTTTTTTTCTCTTCATAAAATCTCCGTTATATAGGCCTCTGGAGAGATGTTGCAAAACTAACCTGCTTCTTCCTCTGTGAATTCCCGGGATATTTTGCCACACATTTAACAACTTTCCTTTCATTTTTCTTTTTAGCTCAATCTCAAGAAAGACACGAAAAAGAGGGAGAGTGTGAGATCGTTATAACTGATTTTGTTCTACAAGGATAAAATAACATGTGAAAGGATAAAATAAAAATAAGGTTGAGAAGCTCAATTTTTTTCTCGTCTAAATCATAACAAATCTAACAGTCTACCCAAAAGGTTGAGTTTCGAGGATAACTGTATATCAACAAAAACAAAATAAAAGAAAAGAATGTCGGGCAACTTGATAACGTGGATTCAGATTAGGTAGAACCTTCTCGTAGTGATATTTCTCACAACCCAAGAGTTATAATGGACTAGGCCTTGAATTGGGTCCATTTATCATATACTAACAAATCACATCGTATGCAAACATCCATTGAGCGAGCGTGGTGGAGTGATAACGGGCATGCTCACAAATGCCATCTCATGAGAGTTTATAGGGACCAACCTCTGTCCCCAACCGTGGCCTTTACGGTTTCTCCCATATAGGTAAGTCCTCTAAAGGTATTATATTGGATATAGGACCCTCTAAAGATCGTAGGTTGGACTAATTAATAGTATAACTCATCCCGATTAGTTGCATCATATGAGCACCGTCATCATAGGAATGAAATTATAGCTAACAAAGTGCAAATCATAAATACATTTAGCTCCACAAAGGAGCGTAACTCCAAAGGTCAATGCTTCACACAAGAATCACCAGTTCATCTTATTTTTACCACACTGAACCTATTTCCTGGGAACGACTCACCAATTAGAAGGTTAGGTACCTGCTATCGGTGATCTCATCTATGGGCTTAACTCCATCCCCATCGATGGTTCTAGCCTTAGGTAGACCCTTTGTCAAATGCTCTGCAAGGTTTTTCTTTGACTTTACAAAGTTAAGTGTCGCAAATTTGCTCATTAAACTCTTAACGGACTTGAAGCTGAGTTGAGATGTCTGTTAAGCTTCCTATTGACAATATCTTGTTTTAATAGTTCAATTGTGGATTTTGAATCGGTATGAAGGTTCTATTTATTTTATTTTATTTTGTTTTTGTTGATATACTTCTTTATCTTATAGTTGTCCTCGAAGCTCAACCTTTCGAGGGGGACTGTTGGATTTATTATGAATTGAATGGGAAAAGATTGAGTTTCTCAATTTTATCTTTATCTTATCCTTTCACATGTTATTCTATCCATTTGAAAGAAAATTAGTTATAACAATCTCTTTCTTTGTCTCCCTCTCTCCCACATCTTTCTTTGGTCTGAACAGAAAAGAAAAAGAAAATAAAAGTTGTTAAATGTGTGGAAAATATCGTGATAATGCATGAAGGAAGAGGTGGGTTAGTTTTGCAACGTCTCTCTAGAGGCTTGTGTAATGAGGCTTTCATGAAGAAGAAGAAAAAAAGAGAAAAATCTAAATCTCTTCTACAGCACTCTTCCTCTCAAAATTCTAATATCTGATATATATTTCTTGAAATTTATAGTAATTTTCAATTATTTCACTAGGCAACATCATCCGAGCAAGAGGTTTGAGGAGTCGCCACATCCTCAAGTGCTGGTATTTATGTGACTGTTACAGCTAGGAGACAGATCACTGTTAAAGCCTGCACGACGGCGGACGTTAGTTTTTTAGAATAGTGTTTACACGACTTCTCCCCATAGGACATCGATCATATTTCCTGTTATTTATTTGCTTGAATTGCATATTATTGACTTTTTCCTAACAACTAGATCTTCAGAGGTTTCTAATGTTTAAAAAGCCTCTCCTTAGCCCGCCTAGGCATAGGTCTAGGTGGTACCTAGGTCGCCCTCCTAGTGCCTAGCACCTAGGTGGTATCTAAGCTGCCCACCTAAGTTTTAGGAGTGTTTAAAGGAGCACGGTCAGCTTACGTGAACTGTATCCTTTAGGCATTGATCATAATTTCCTCCATTGCAGCCTCTACATCCTTCAGCCTCCAACGATGAACACCTCTTCTACCTCTCCCAACCTTCAACAAAACCTCCTCTACCACCACTTAAATGAAAAAAAAGTCCACCTATGAGCCGGTCCGGCGCCTAAGTTTTTTATGACATTGACATTTGCTATCAATTAATATAATTAAAAATGAAAAACAGGAACACCGTCCTATCCTAGCCTAGGCTCTAAGCGTCTAGGCTCTAGGCATCTGGTCCAACTCCTAGGCCGCCTGACGCCTTTTGTCACCTTGCAGGTTTGATAGAATCACTAAGAAGCTTACTTGAGAGATTTTATTTTGTTTGTTTACTTTCTTTTATCTTCTGATTTGTTGTTTCCTTGTTATATAGTCCTACTGTTGATGCACCCAGTAGCTAGTTCGTCTTTTCAATTAACACACAGTTATTGATTTGGTTATGCTTACTTGCACGTTAGGAATTGTAAAATACGTTCCCTAGGTGATAGTTAAGGAGAATAGAAATGTGTACTAAGGCCTTCAAGTCATGTAGACTCATTAAGAAGATTCACCAGCCAAAAGTTTGCTTGCATCTTTGGTTGGTACTTTGTTGACTGAATTATCTTTTACCATTAAATTCATAATTCCCCGTTAAGTAGTTATTATGTAGCTGTATATGCTGACTACATTTTGTTTCCTTCCTTTTGCACCAATATAGCTGTTTTCTGATTCTTTGTTATCGCAATTTTCTCTGCAGGAAGAAGCTGCTGCAATCAAGTCTGCCGGAAAGGCCTGGTACAAAACCATGATGACAGACAGTGACTATGCGGAATTTGAGAATTTCTCCAAGTGGCTTGGCGTTACTCGGTAGAAGATCCATTATCATTAATCTTTCTGATCATTCTTCAAAATCTAGTTCAGGTTGTTTAGGAATTTGTCGAGCGACGTGTGCAAGGGCACATTTTCTGGCTATTCTCTTTAGACTCATTTACTTTGGATATTGTTATTTTTATGGGAATTCATAGCTTTTCAAAGAAGTCTTGCGTCCATATTATTTTAGTAAAATATGCATTTTTGAGGCAGGTAATTAAGTTTCTTTATCAAGAATCTTGGCAGCGGTTAGTTGATACTTTTTGTGTTTTTTGGGATATTTGTATGTATAGTTCCAACTATTGCTGTTGCATCAACCTTTAATTTGAGTGTGGTTATCACTGCCTCATTTTTAACTTACTTCGTTGTTGCAACAACACTCAACGCCCAAGTTAAAGTTTATATAACGACACATATCCAAACACTAGTAATCCTGACACTGATTTCGTGATTCTGTATTACATTCCCTCTGTTTCCTTTGTATCAGGTTATTTGCTTGTCTAATTACGCACTGTTGTGACTTGTACACGGCACAATTTTCTTAGTTTTGTTGATCTTCATAGCTGCGTAAGATATCCGAGCAGAGAACTCATAGCTGCGTAAGATATCCGAGCAGAGGACTCATGCGGTTAAAAGGTTTGTGACATCGTTTGTTTCTTGATAAATTGTTGTGCTGATTCTTACTTGCAGTTGTGTCCTGGATCCTGGATCAAATTGCATTAGTTTTATTGCTATGAACTTGCGTTACAAATTCTATTTGATTCACAATTTGATATATAAGATTTTTGTACCATTGTGGCCATTATTTCCAAGTGAAACACTGAAAAGGGTTTTACTTCGTAAAGAGTATTTTCATTGGAAAACAACAGTCAAAGTTGTTTCTGTTGTGGAATGTTAAAGCACTTGGATTTTATAAACCGCATATTCTAAAAGTTAGCCATCTAGTTGTACTAGGGACTGTTTGGTTGGGCATGAAAACTGGAAACCACAGAAATGAGCCTCCGCCCGCAACATGGAAAATTATAAATTTTTTGTTGGATTACACATATATTTGTTGAGGATATTGTCTGAAGCTAAAAAATGGCGCCAAAATTGTTTAATTTCACTGAAATCAGCATAATTTTGCCCATTGAATCTACTTTTCTATACTTAAAAGGAGAATCCAAAAAGTTATTGTTTATGTTACAGTAAATACAGTAGTATCTACTCCTCTATACGTATAGGAGGATCCAAGATTTAGTGTATATGATACAGTAAATACTACAATAAAGTACTGTAGCATAAATAGTAAATCTTTTCTTTAGGCAAAATGACCAAATTAGTATATTTTGTTTACCCATAGTGACAGGTTGACATATAGCTGTTTTTCGGTACCACATTGGTATATTTTCTGAACTCTGGCAACAAATAGGCCTTAAGTTTGGTTAGATCCAATTTTTTGGCCATTTTTCTCACGTGACAGCTCACGTGACTCCAACGTGGCCGCAACGTGGACTCCAGCGTGACGATAGTTGGGATGAATAAATTTCTTTGAAAGGGTTTTTTTTCTCAGATTAGGGTTTTTCTGGTCTTCTTCCCTTCGTATTCCTCCGTCTTCTTCTTCATCTTACTCCATCATCTTCTTCTTCGTCTTACTCCATCTTCTTCTTCCTCCTAGATTTAGGGTTAGGTTCGGTGGAATTTAAATTAGCTATGGATTCTTCATCTTCAAGTTGTTGCTTAAGATCAGTGTCAAGCACGAGCATGGGAAGAAACAAACAATGGTTTAATGAGATAAAAACTATACGACAGTGGAATGATCTAGCAAAGCAATCTGGGGTGAATGTTTGTAATTGTGGTTTAGAGTGCGAAAATTTTACTTCTGTGACTGATGAAAATCCAGGAAGGAGGTTCTACAAATGCCGCAATCATTTGTAAGTTAATTTTGGATTTGATGAATTATTGAAACAGAGAGAGATATATGAGAATATCCATGCTAAATACAAATTTTGCGAACAGAGAGAGATATTACAAAACAAAGTGCAATCAATACATTATTCATATATTAATCAGCGTAATACAACCTAATATTATCCAAATCAAACGTAGACCATTAAATTTTTCATATAATATTGAGGACTGCTAAATCATTAAGCAAGAACTCCATCAGTGCACCATGTTTCGCCCTACATTTGTTTGTTTTTGTTGACTTCCATTCACAATATTCCTTAGCATGCTCTAGCAGTTCTTCGTAGGTCCATCCTTTTTCTCCATTGCAATAGGGACATAGTAATTTTACTTTTGTGATGACCCTTTTGTTGTTGTTTTGCAATTGTTCAAGCAAAAACTTTTCATAGTTGACATAGTTATCTTGATTGTCAAGGACTTGTTCCATCTGAGAATTTAATTATAAACATGTAATGAAATATGAAGGAAAAGAATAGGTAATTATTGGCATATTTACCTCAGCGTTGTCTTCAAATTGAGAGATAATGATGTCCTCTACATTCTTTCCCCGAGCAGAGACGTTGTCCATTATTGCGCTGTTAAATGAAAGAAAATTTCCTCTCTTACCTCCTACTTTTTAAAGATGTTGGATGTTGATTTAGGCAAAACGATACAATTCATGTTGTATTTATAGTCCTGAAGAAGGCAGTTGTATGAGGACATGGAATTCCGGTTCACATCCCTTGGTAAGAAATTATAAAACTAAACAGTTATATATGTAACTGTTCAGTATTGGAAACTTCCTCATTTATTGCAGTTTTTATTTGGAAGCAGTTTGCAGCTTTTACTTAGAAGCAGTTATTTTTTTGGCATCTCTTTTGTTATGATTTTCTTTGATTTTTGAGTAATGATAGGCTGGTGGTTGTGGCATTTGGGAGTGGATTGACAAGCCAATGTGTAGTGTTTTTGAGTAATGATAGGCTGGTGGTTGTGGCATTTGGGAGTGGATTGACAAGCCAATGTGTAGTGTTGGATGTCAATTGTTTCTGCTTCTATGAGAGGAGATCAATGGTTTGAGGAATACGTTGCTTTTGAAAGAGGAGTTACTTTAAAGGTGTGAAAATGAGCTAAGAGGATGCAATGAGCAGATTTACAAGCTTAAAGAAGATGTTGAATTATCTCAACATGAGCCTGCTACTTGTTTGGAAGAAGTAGAGAAATTGATGAGTGAAATATTAAAATTGCACGCAAAGCTTGTAGAAGAAAAAAGGACAATTAAGTTTATTTTGTTATTAGTAATGTTTACACTCTGTTTAATTTTGTATTTTGTAATGTGATGATTTGTTGTAATGTGATTAAAGCACTGTAATTTGTGAGTTGAGTTGATTATGAAGTTGATGTAATCTGAAGTTTTAACAAGTTTTAACGCAATTTATTATGGAGTTGAGTTAACTACGTTGCTTATAATAAAAGGCAACATTGTGCATGAATACAGGAAATTGTGCATGAATACATGTACTTTCTGTGTTGTTATATACAACTGTCAAGTTGACAGATTGGTTTATTTGTTCGTAAATGTGTTACCAAGTTGACATATTTTCCCTATATACTATTGCCAAGTTGGTATATTTCATTGACCTGAATAACCAAATGTGTATATTTTGTTTATTGGAAACACTTGTACCCGTTTGACCCAAAATGCACATGATCTGGTTGATTCAAACAATAAAGCTAGCGGCATTAAGTAGACATATAAACTTTCAACCTGCTAATGTAATTAAGTTCCTAAAACCATGTTACATGCCCAGAAAGAACTAAACATTAACCACTTTGTCCCAATAGTAGAATTTACATAAACTGATCAGTAACACAGTACACAAAATACTCAGTTTTCTAGATATAAAGAAACTGATCAAAATTCTACTAAACGTTAATTACATGGCCAAATTCTGAGAGGGTGCACTCTATGAGGATGGTGCATTAGCTGTCAACCGTATCACATTTACTTGAATTTCACCAGGAGCTCTAAATGCCATTTTCGAGCTCTAAATGCCATTTTCCCTTGTTCTCATTGCCACAAACCAAACCCTTATGGCATCCGTATTTGACTTTCACCCCCTCTCCCTCTCCCTCCTCTACCTCTTCCTACCTCAGTGCTGGTTGTTGGAGCTTTGCTTCTTCTTCCAAGGATAATGGATGCTGGAGTTGGAGCATTGCTTGGAGGCATGTCACCACCTCTAATTTTGTTCATGCTTCCCTTTGGTCTCCCCTTTTTTCTCACTTAAGATGGTCCTTCATCAACTCTTCTTCCTTGTGATTCCTACAAGATGGCTTAGGTAATTATAAGTTGTTTATTGAATTAAATATACTTGCATAAAATTAAGCTTACTTCTGTAGCTTGTTGCCTTGGTAGTGCAGTGGGGCACCTTCTTCGTGTATGTTCACTTGATTCATAATGGGTACATCTCATTGTCACTCCTTGCCTTGATGCCTTAAATGGATTTCTTGGACCTTCTGAAGGGTCCCTCCTTCTAGCTTGTTTAGGCCTACCATATTCCTCCTAATATTGTGAGGAGGCACCACAGATCCCGCTTGTTTAAGGTCCCAAAATCTACATCCTTGCACAGGGTTTAACAAGCTCTCATAAGCATGTGTGTAAGCTTCAATTTTGTACCAATGAGCAACAAAATCTTCTGGAGTCTTTCTCATGAACAATATTGCACTAATGGCATGAGAACATGGAATTCCAGTCAAGTCCCAAACCCTACAAGAACATGTTTTTTCACCCAAATTGACCTCATGACCAATCCCTCTATGATGTATCTCAAATCCACTATAGTCATTCGTTCCAGACCAATGTGTTTGACAATGTAATTGTTCTTGATAAGCCTATTTGATTTTCTTGCTTATTCTAGGGGCAATCCCACCCACAAATTGTGTTATCAACTTCCTCTTTACTTGCATCCTATCCATCAAAGCAAGTCTAATGTCTTCCGGCATAGAAATTATTAGTTTGTATCTTGCATGAAGGATGAATGAGTTGAAGATTTCGGCTATATTGTTGTCAACGCTGTCACATTAGCTATGACATTTAAAATGTGACTTACAAAAGGTGTGAGGATTCCTTGCCATGAAGCCGTCATATGCCCCTTCAGAGTAATCCTTCAATTTGGCAGCCTCTCTTGCAAAATCTCCCATGGAGGTTGCCTTCACACAATACCAAAATTGGTTTTGAAGAGTTCTTCTAGTATGT